CTCGCATCGTTGGTGTCGCATATTATAATATTAATGTGCCCCTGACTGAATTTATAACGAGTCGAGTAAGTACTTCATGGAAACGTTATCTGAGTAAAAATGATTTCAAAGTCAAAGTCAAAGCATTTATTTCAATTAAACCATAATTTGGTACTTTTGAAATGTCAACAAATACAAAATAAATGATAGTCTGTCAGTGAAACTAGGTGAAGCTAGGTGCTCATTCCAAAATGTAGATTCAAATGGAGACGAACGAGCGAAAAACTCAATTTGTTACTCTTTTTAAAAAAGTATGTTCTAGTGTTCTACAATGTCTCTGATACATGTTCAAATACTGTACGTATATGTGAGAACGATGCGAAGATTATTGTTAAAAATCAAGAATCTACTAACACCAAAATAGAAGCAAGTTGTTTTTACACTTTGTTGACAGGAACAGGTAATCAAAGGGCTACTTTCAATAAGCTATTAACGTTATTTGCTATTTTGAATATTATACCGAGAATTCTATGTTATATTTCTCTTGCCTTTATTTTAATTTTCCTGGAACATGTTTATTCAAGTAAACATGTTTATTGTGGAGCAACTCTAATTTTATTTGAACTTATGTATCGGTTTTTCTTTTGGCAATATATTGAATGGTAAATAAACGATTGGAAATGTACACATCGTGGTAAATAAATATGTGATTCCTTTACAAAATGGGGATTATTTAACTTTGCTTGTTAAGTTAAAGTTCCAAGGAGTTTCGTAATGGCGGAGCTGATTAGATAGGGGCTTTCGTTATGATATTTTGGAAGTGCAATTTGTAAGGTAAATATGGTTGGTTCTGCTCGGTAGATGATAACTCTATTTCTATAGAATAAGAAGAAAGAAAGAATGTAAGAAAATCCGGTTATTACGTCACGACACACAAGCAGAAAAAACAGAAGTTCATGGTGAGTCACAGCGCAAAAGAAGAAGTTTATGACATGCTTTTTAGCAATAGCCCTGTTGAATATTTTATTTTCTTGATATTTTTATTAAAGATATGTGTACCTCGATTCTTTTCCAATACATAGTCTGTCATAGTCATCATGGATATACAATTCATTTCTTCAAGTATATATGACAATAAAGGTTTGTAATTTCATAACTATAGATAGGTCTAAAAACGCATTAGCGACAACGAACAAAAAGCCGTAGCGTTACAAAAGAAAAAAAAAACACAAATATGTTTAAAAATATTCTCCTTACAAAATGTTCTAAGTAATCAAGTCTGAACCTTGCGAAGCCGAGATTAGTGCAATGTGAGACGACATAGCGTATCGCCATTAGTGTCGGCCGTCGACCGAACCGTTTTGTATTCATACCCTCTGAATTCATTATCCGCTGTATAATGGCCACACTTTTTGCCTAATTGTTTTAATTGCATTGTGGTATCTACGTTATCGTGCTGGGTTACAGTTTGTATTGTTTTAGTTATAGTTAATTGTTTATTTGTTCTAGGCGTTATTGAACTGAATTACAAAATTAACACATAACATAACATCACGCCTTTTGTCCCTGAAGGGGTAGGCAGAGGTGCACATTATACCACTGTACAATGTAACACCCACTTTTCACTATTTATGTTATGAGTCCCATGTAATAGGGGGTGAGCCTATTGCCATATACCGGGCATAATTCCAGACTCCGTATTACTATTGAGAATATTTAAAAACCCGGTAATACTTTGCCCGACCCGGGAACTGGGGAACGGGGACTTACGACCACTCGGCCAATGAGGCAGTCATTTACAAAATTATATTTTGTAATTAATTATATTTATCTCATTTAGAAATCTAATTCTTTAAGATATAGAAATAAAAGGTAGCCTATGTTGTGCCCTAAGTGGAACGCTGAAAGAAATTTTTAAATCAATCCAATAGTTATGAAGTCCATTCAAGGAAATAAACAATCTCTTTTCTTTAAAGTATTGGTTTCGATGGAACGCTTAATATTCATAATTTCAAACACTTAGCTAACAACCATAACTTCATTCTGAAACGACCTGGAAACTTCCCCCAGTCGACCATCATTAAAAGTCAGTTCATGTAAATAGCTTCCTGGAACAGTTGACTTCAAAAATAAGATGTTACAACTTGAGTCCGGTTGTCGACAGAACATTAGCTGTAGAGGAAATCGATTAGGAAACCAATCACATAGTACACGTGTAGTCACTGAACGATGGGCTGAAGCAATCTTCACACATTGGTATGTACCTACTTAAGGGTTTCTCTGCTGAGGTTAGCACGTGTCTTTTAGATTCTTCATGTTTACCGTACGAGTGTTAGTAACAGATGAACGTATGTTGTGCTGTGATGGCGAAGTAGAACATATTTATTTGGACAAATGTGTTCCACTTCACCATCACTATCGTAAGAGTCAACTAAGGCTAGAAACATTGCAGCAGTCTATGATAAATTTAAAACTTTTTAAATCCTTAACCAGGATCCTCGAACCTCGACTATGATTTATTCGTTTACCTCTTTTTAACCTAATATTATATATCCATTTACCTCTTTTAAATGGGCTCTTGAGACAATTGCTCAATTGCTACGATTCCTATGCACCTCTTTCGGTTCATCAACAGTCATCAATCTTAATACTTTGCCATGTTTTGTAATTTTGATGTTAATATTCTTATCAAATATTTAATTGAACACCTCAAAAACTTTGCATAACCACAAAAAATCCGACACAACAATAAATCAGAACCCTCTTTTACAGAAACAAACATAACAATTATACCTTGATATTGAGCTGAAAATGAATGACACTGAATCGTCATAACACCTCAGATGGGGATGGGCAATAATTGCAAAATTTGGCAGTACTCGCACAGCTCATCTGTTATTGAGAGTTGTTCTGAGTTAATTAACTTTACGGAACCATGAAACTTACGAGTAGGCATTGTTGTTTTATGTTATTGCAAAGTGAAATTGTACAATTTGAACTGTAATGATGATAAAGTAAATTTTGTGAGTGAGTTTGAGAGCAGTGAGTGAGTGAAGATTTGAATCAACAACAAAAACATTATTTATGATTACTTAGGGAGATATGTATGACAACTGTATCGACATCATTATCACAATATGAGCCACGTGACGGCAACGCTAAACATAAAAAGACTTCTAAATCGGCTAGGGAAACTAGATCTAAAGAGTGACTGAAACGATATATAAATAACTTTATGTACTTTGTCAAAGTTACGCAACCCTTTCATTTTACTGTAACTCACAACCAATTTGTAAGCTTCTAGTCCTATTTTTCGACAACACCTCTGACATTGTACCTCAATGATTAATAATCTTCTACGTCAGCCCTTGTTTCCACTTTCCTACAGGTTTTTAGGCCGAAGGTCGGACAAATTAAGCTAGTCTAAGGGGTGTTACGCACTGGCGACTTACCTACTGTAGTTTAAATAGGTTATTATGCATTTGATGTTCGATTACCGGGCAACTCAATCGTAACGTAGTGGTGATGCGCAAACGACTACCGCCAGTTGACAGCGTTCAATCGATAGACACACAGTCCACTAAGGGACTACATATTTAACAGAGACCAGTATCGTCCTCTAATAAACCTGATCAAGATCAATACACATCAGCAACAACGCAGATCAAGATTAGTAGTGATTATGGCAAGGTCATCTTTTATGGAGGAGGTTTAATGCCCACAGTTCTCCTAGGAGTGACCTTTCGATGATGATGGAAGACAGAGTCGCCAGCAACCAGTCGATACTACGTAATGGCTCTAAAAGACCCACGTTCTGCGAAGGGTATAATTATAAAGTTCTTGTTTAAGATGGCCTGTACTTAAGGCCGGTGACAGAGGATCAAAGCTTAAGTAATTAGGCGTTCCTTTTGAGTTTCTTGTACGTGACGTCAGTTGTAATTCATTGTTATCTAACTTGATGTGTTGTTGTTGGCTGTACATTGTAGTAGCATAAATATGATGTGTTCATTTGGGACTTTTGATATCGTTCTATTTTTGTGTCTATAAGAGGTTTTTATATAATCAAACTCTCCTTTTTTTTAATCAAGTCAAGTCAAAAAGCATTTATTTCAACTAAACCATAATTTGGTACTTTAAAAACGTCAACAAATTCAAAATAAATAACAGTCCGTCAGTCTGTCCGTCAGTGAAGCCAGGTGCTCGTTCCAAACGTGGATTCGAAAGGACAAGAACGAGCAAAAGTCTCCATTCGTTACTCTTAAAAAAAAGTTTTACATTATTTGAAACATTATCCAACATTATATGTAAAAACCATGTAAAAATACTATAAAATACCAACAAAATTATAACTTAATTCTATTGTTTTTATTAAATTTAAAAGCGGTCCAGAAAGAGTGATTTCCTAATCTTTTTTCGTAGCTCAATACCAGTATTTACGAGTATGATCAGTTATTGGTTGCGTAATAGTGGCTGTCGAGTGGTTTCGAACTCCAATATCGCACGCTACAGGCCTTGTATTGATTGTATTCAATAATAACTATATAAATAGCACCACAATCCAATGTGCAAAGCCAAGGTGGGACGACGTACTTTTCATTCTATTTTTTTCTGCCCCTTTTCTGAAATTGCTTGAGGCCGGCGAAATACTTATGTATGTATATCTTTTGTGGATCTCCCCTATCGCGCGTCATCGAAACACTAATCTCTTTTTCCCTCAGAGAGTCTGTCTCTGAGAAATAACAAACTTTAAAATGTTTAAGAGAAATTCTATGAATACATTAATGTAACAAGAATCGGATACAGCTACCAATGAATCTGAATGTTCACTGAAGCACTGCAGAAATCTATAAAATTACTCTAATTCACTTCCCTCGTGGGTGATTGTCTACAATGCATACGCTCGCCCCGCTGCGGTGGCGTGAAAGCCTTGCCGTTGCCATAGTTACGAGACGCTGCAGTGCTTTCTCTGCCCGCCCTCCACCGCAGTAAGCGCCCAACCCTCGCACAGAGAGGGTGTACGCCACGCTCCCGTATAACTGTCGATGTTTCATTTGTTTTCGGAACATAATTGAATATCGAAGTCGAGATTTGAATTTAGAAACTTAATTTTATTTTTTATTTAGTGAGGTTCTATGATGTATCGCCAAGGAGGTTCTACCAAGGAGTTTTGGATGCAGTTGCAGTGTTTAAGAGTGATGCAGCTGGTGTTGTGTGTGTGAATCATGGATGAATTTTGTATTGTACTTTGGAAGACGGCGATATGACGGCCCAGGAGAGAAGCAATATTTTCTCGGATGATGACGAGGACTTGGTGAGTTTTATTATAGTTATATAACAGGATATCCTTGAGTTTTGGAACTGTTCCAAGAATAGCGACTGTTACATAAAGTTTCGAGTGCCTGCAGTGCGAGATGAGAAATGCTCAAATAAATAGAAAGTACTCTCGTTGAATTTGAAGTGCATTTTTATTTTCGTAATTTGCATTTTAAGTGATATGCAGATATAAGTTATGCATAAATTAAGAACACAGTCTGTTATTTCAATAACTTTGAGAGCTTAAAACCAAATGACTCTTAAAAATTTTATAGACTTATTTTAAAGTCGTTATTGCAATCATGTGTAAATAGGTTTATCACATCAACATCGGATTATTTTTAGCATCATCAAAACAATAGGTAACATTTAATTTCCAAATTGGCAGTCTCTACGTCATTGATCAAACTACATTCATTGCTACGAGCCAAATGGTATTTAATGACCTTTGAATGAGTGAATAAAAAGTCATAGTATGGACTTGACACAGGTTTTTAACGAAAGTTGGTGTTATTCCGTAATTTGAATTTTTCGGTCCCTTGTTCGACTAGTGATTAATTGCTATTTCGCCAGGGATAGTGTAAAATCGCACATTTAGCTTCATAATATATTTTGCTTATCTGAAAATTTTAAATTGTGCTCAGTTTTCAATAGCAGTTCGATATGACGTGAATTGGCCACAAAATGAAATTGGCAACATTTGTCAAATATGCGAAATTAACTAGAGTTAGATGATGCCTGATGATGATTTTGCACTATACCCGACGAATTTTCTAGTGGACTGTTCAGTACATATAACAGTTCGTCAATTTTATTATATTCTAATACCTAATATTCTATTAAAATATGTATAGATTAGATTACGTAACTTGAATGATAGAATCGCATTTCGATCTTATCTACATTTATTCATGAAGTTTAGTAGTCATCCGTTGTCTTTTCTTGTCGTCACTGTAGCTTATCGGGGCGACCTATGTCAGAGGTTTTTATTAAAATTCCGGCTCTTAAGTCTAGGTGGGGTAGACAAGGACCTCATGGTAGGAGGACAGAAAATTTATAGGTATGATAGACATCTTTATCATAGTCACTTTCAACTTTTCTAAGTAGTTATAAAGTCAAAATACATTTTTAAACGTTGCCCCACACTATACTATATGATTTCTCCTGTGTCATGGTTGCGTTTACAAACATACAAGTTCAAATTCACGTGACACTCACATCCGAAACACGATTTGTGGATATCACAAAGAGTTGTTCCATTTGGAAATCAAACCCGCTACACGTTGCGCGCCAGCCGGTTGGCCAGCCACCACGCCAACCGTGCAGACGAACTACATAAGAAAATCTTAAATGTAGTTACAGGTTATAACAATAACTTTGTTCTATCTTTATTTGTTAAATAAGTCGACGTTTTTCGAAGCAAATCGTTTAATGTCAAGATTAAATAAGTCACAAACAGAACTCATTGCTCATCTTAAAACCAAACCCCACTCAGTTAATCCCATCATTATAATCCCGAAAACAGACAAAACACGAACAGTATGAAATCCAAAAATATCATTAATTTAAACAAAGTTACGTCTGTATAACACATTGAATTTAATGAAATGATTCTGCGTACCATTAAGTTGGTATAATGGCAAGTTTAACAGTCTAATCTCACAAAAGCCAGTGAAACAGTAGAAAGCGTTTAAACTTAGTTAAATGTGGCTTCAAATTCAAAGTTGAGATACCTTATTACTTTGGTACTCGGAAGTAGGTATTTCGTGTGGGACATAAATCTCTGAGCCACAATGATACAGGGTAATGTGGGCCGCATTGTTGGGCCGGCCCCACCGACCCGCCATATTTACCTGTTCATAACTCCGACTAGAAACTTTTGTGATAGAAGCACACACGCAACTGTTGTTTATCTCTGTTGCGGTCATTAGAAAAGTTTTGCGACTCTCAAGGCAACTGTGATTAAATCTATTTTTGTGGAGCTGAGTAAAATGGCACAGTTATTGTGTGGAATTTCTCATCGCAACTGTACGTGGTAGACGTGAGTTTTACTATATTTTTTGCTTGATTAGGTATGATTACTACATTCGTCTAAATATTTCTTTTCATTATATCCACCTAAAGGTTGTCTGGTAGAAATCACTATAAGTGATAAGATCGCCTTTGTGCCCATTATTATTTTTATTTATATTTGTCATTTCCTTTTCTGTATGTACTGTATTATTAATGGTGTACAATAAAGTTTATTGTTTTCTATTCTATACATTTGTAATTGTATTATATTTTTATATTTGATGGGCCAACAATTAAATATCTTTGAATTAAGTTCTGGATTCATATACATATTATTAGCTCTTTACCTAGTACAGACTATAATGTGGGTTATTATAATATAACATTGCTGACTAAAATAACATTTCATCTACCTCTCTGGGAGCAAAAACAGGTGTAACATAACGTATCATATTAAAGCAGATACCACCCAAAATAGACACGTGAATCTTTTAAAGGTTTCGTTATATAAATACATTTTCTTTTTCGGGTCGGTAGAAGGTAACAGGTAACCATAATTTCACATAAAAAAGATATATAGGACCTCCGGTATACTTAAAAGGGTGTCCAAAATTTATGCAATCCCTAAAAACATGGGATCTTTCTCGAAAACATGACGAGGTAGCGAAAGGATGGATGAACAATCTAAGTTTTTATACCCAAGTCTACAAGTTAAATGAAAAAGTGTGACAAGTTTTTATCGTTCAGAATTACTTCCCCAGAGCACTTGAAAACAAAACGTGTTTAGAATAAATAAACACCATTCTTCTTTATTGTTATTCTAAACATTTACAATATTCATATTTCTAGATTTGTTTGCTGAAGCCTCAATTCCGTGACGACGTTTACATAAGGGCGCGTTTAGATTTACTGTCACCTTGTTACTTAGAGTACTGTAGTACTGGAGTACTGTAGTATGAACCATTTATTTTTATTTATTTTTTTATTTATTTACACTTTTTGTAGATATACAACGGCGGACTTAATGCCTAGTGGCATTCTCTAACAGTCAACCTTAGGGTGGTGCAGAGAGATACAATAGTAGGTGTAAACGTTTAACACTTATTAGAGTGACACAATAATTAACATTAACATCATAATATATAATTATACATATCACACAATATATACTAATTAAATATAATGAAGAAGTATTAAAATATATACGTAATGCAAAACGAACAGTAGACAAATAAGTATGGGACATATATATACCTAAATATACGAAGAAAAATACATAACATAACATATATACATACATAATTATACACATACATATATGTAAATACGTACAAGACCTAAGTGTGTGTTGAGTCTGCTAGCCTCTTCTGTAGATACTCACGAACCTTAAATTTGAAGGACAGACGACTGGTCGCCGTCCTGATATCCGTCGGCATCGCATTCCACAGCAAGATGGATTGGACGAAAAAAGAAGAGTGAAGGAAGTCAGTTCGATGTGTGGGACATTGTAACAGAAGATTATTAGAAGAACGGAGGTATTTGCTATGGTTAGCGCTCACATACTGGAAATATGAGGAAAGATAAGTAGGAGAATTGGGAGAATTAAGAAGGGAGAATAAAGTGGTTAGCGCCCGTTGTTCCCTGCGCTGACGTATGGGCAACCACTTTAGTTGCAATCGAAATGCAGAGACATGGTCGTACTTACGCAGGTTGAAGACGAATCGAATGCAGGTATTCAAAAGGCGGTCATAAATGGTTCATAATATTATGATAAAATAATATGTTATTTAGCTCGATTTTTCTGTTGTAATAAATTTTTTCATTTGTTTGTATCACAAACTATTCATAATTCTGACATCTTAATTGAAGCCTAAAGTTCGGTTAAGTTAGCTTGTTATTTTAATGATCTTCTAGTAGCTAATATCTTTACAAAACGACCTCAGTTTTACTATCGTAACTAAGTACGAATAATTCTAGTCCACAGCTACCAACTCGACCAATGTAAATGCGTCTCACTTTAGGTACTTAAGGGGTACATAGACACAGGATGTTCTAATGCGGTTTCCACGACAACGGGTGTTCATTCGCTGAATAACATTGAAGATTTGTTTGAAAATGGATTTAGGATTTGAAGATAAATAGACAAAGGCAGTGGATTCGACTCGGGAATATAACGTGATAAGAATAACGACATTTTAGCCCAAAATAAGGACAAATGAACTGTCAACAGAGGCCGGTGTAAAGTTTTGGGCAAATTGAACTTGATTTAGGTCGGTTTCCTGGAAAAGTTGAGCGTTGAAATATCTCTCGCGTGACCAAAGTTCTTTAGTAACCGATATGTTGCAAGAGTATATGTATTTATTTTACTTAAATATGACATACTTTCACATAGTATTCTTTGCTTTTGGAAGTAGTAGGCACATTATTACTTTATACTACCACATACATGTGCACGATATTGCTTCCTAAAAGCGCACTGTGATAATATAACTATTTGTCTATTATACTCGTATATTCACCAAATATATTATGAAATAGCTTTGACCTTAAGTTTTATATAGATCCGACTATAGCTTCCGTAAGCTTAAATTGTATTTTCAGCTTGCCAAAAATCATAAGATTATCAAAAACCCCTTTATGCCAAAATCCATTTAAAGCACATTGATGTTTTTGCTATCAGTTCCCGGTATTTAGCGTTTGGGTGCAGCTCTAATCGAAACCGATAAGCAATTACTGAGACCGCTTTAAGCCGCGATGAGAATGTTCCAGAAAATGGCTTAAAACCGTTTAATATAAGGCCATGTCATTTATCTTGTTATTTATTACGTTGGTGTAATCAATATTGTGATTTGCTGTTGGGTTATATTGGTTTAACGATAGAAAGAACGGGTTTGACCTTAAAATGGAGGGGTTCGAACATAATTAGGTGCAGAAAAATGAATTAATATTTGGGAATTGTTTGTGTAATTCGGTATAAACAGGTTA